TCAACCAGAGCGTCAACATCGTTGACGCTCCGAGTATGAACGCCTTCAGGAACAGACCAGACGAAGCTATGCAGGAGCATATGTTCAGTCTTAAAATGCCTAGCAACTTACGGACCAGGCAAAAGTCCAGCAGCTATCTCAATCGATCGTCAGTTATGGAAAGATCGGGTTCCAAAGGCCGGATCCATTGGGGAATCAGGATCCGGGGATAGGTTAAAGTACAGGAATCGTTAACAGGCCATGGGCCTATTTCTTCAGTGCCGACACTTCTATTCAATTCTATTCTATAACAAAATAAGGAACATATAATAATAAAATGTAGATGTATTATTAGAGATTGACTTCAAAATGAATCGCCAATCGGAGACACATCATTTTATAGTTAGATTATGAATCATTGTTATATTAGGAAACCTAAATAAAATCTTCTATAGAAAATTTGGCACTCGAAGGAGGCAAGAAGCTACCCGTCCGACCAGAAGATAGGGTAATACTAATCGGTTAAAATATGAATGACAATTTAGCCGTGAATTCTAGATGGCAACTTGAAATACCAGATGTTGGTTTTTCCCAAGATGATGGGGGTACGAGAAAATTTCATAAGGTGATGATGGGGATATGAGAAACATATTTACGTTGAATTTATCCGATTTTAACTAATTTGAGACAGTATATAGACATCAATCTTTGTTTTATAAAATAAGCCCGAGAAGGCTCTACGCCCCGACACTTTAGTTACCGCATGAAAATATACATAGAAAACTGTTCGCACATTTTTCATTAGTGAAAATTTTCAGTGGGAAACAGAATTAAATAGTGTACTGATTTTCACATGGCCATTTTAGGCTAGAAACAAACACTTATTAGTTATTAGTTTATTACATATTTCAACAGTTCATAAATGATAGTTTGGCTGCACCAGGAAAGGGCGTGAAAGAAAGTATTCGTATTATCAGGCATCAAAAAAAGGGTATACAGTATTTCAAGAAAACGATAATTATATTAATGAATAATGATGTAAAATAATGAATAAATAAAGCTGTCTCCAATTTTTTGGTAATTCGTTAAAATTATACGGAAAATCTAGGAGTAACGGTAATAGAACGACAAAAAATGGAAAATTTTAATGTATGAACTGGAGTGCAAAGAATTAATCCATTGTATAAGATTCCTAAGGGGTATGCTCAACATTCATTATTATTAAATGTATTTCTTGCAGTCATTCTGCATATCAATATACAACCGTACACTCAGGTACAAGGCTGGGTAATATTGTTCAAAGTTGTGACACGCTTTCTACACGCAGCTCTGATACGCCTTTTTTTAGCGCATTTTCTCATTTATGGAAAAAAATGCATTATTGTGCTCGCCATGTCCGTCTGTCTGTCTGTCTGTCCGTCCGTCTGTCTGTCCGTCCGTGACCTCAAGTTTTCGTCGACGAGAAAATGCGCTCTCTGTCACTCACTGCAGTGAGTACTGAGTTATTTTTTTGGTGAGTAGAGCTTGTGCAGGATATCCCACACGCACGAGGGAAAGGTGCATCGCAATTTGGACAAAGTCTCGCAATAATTTCTGAGTGTAGTCAATGGCCAACGCGGATGTACGTTACAATTGTTTACGGATACCAGAAAGCGGCCTTGAGAGTCAATGAGTCCGGACAAGAGCAAAATTCCTGTCATTCCTGGAAAAATCCCCAAGTCTGTAAACGCTTTTACGAGGATGGATTTTTAAATGGCAATAAATGTTTTGTAGATTACTATTGAAAGCATTATAATTAGACTCAGTGTAAAATATCCAAAATTGGTTTTTCTCTGAAAATGAAACTAAAAAATTTGAAATATATAGACTGAGTTGTTGATTCAAATGTTTGATTGGCTACCGCATGACTCGTAGAATCGAACAATTCATCTATTTTTATGGTTGTTCAATGTTTGACTTTTTATTTTTTTAAAGTTATATACATTATAAATTCACACTCAAACATGTTTCACGCGTTTTCAATGTTTCACCTCGACGCAAATTATGAGATTTTTTCTTCATTTTCCTTTTTTTGCCTAAGTTTCGTTTAAGGACGTTTCCAAATTGTTTCATAAGAAGGTTTGTGCAGAAATACAAAAAACTACCTAGTTGGAAAATTCACTGTAAACATGTATGTAGGAAGTTGCCTTTGGAAATAAGGTAATCAGTATATGACTCATGATGTGTTGAATATTCCAGTTGATGCAGTAAAAAAAATTTTTAACCCTTGACAAAATGAAGCTGATGAGCCATCGTTCATCATTAGAGAATGAAAAAGAAATTGTTTATTTATAATATTCATATATATTTTTTATACGTATTATATGATTGTGGTATTAGATTAATTTTTTAACTGGATAGTTTCAATAATAAATAACTTAAATTGCATTAACACTTCAAGAAAAATTTCGTGAACATAATTTTTCGTTTTTTTCGTAAAAAAAAAATTTTTCAGCAAAAATTTAAAACTAATTCATTTGGTTCTATAAGTTATCTTATGAGCACATTTAACCACTTAAACGATACCGAACAGGTCTGCAAATTTGCATCTCCGTTGAACACGATCTCAAAAAAGTTGCATGCACTTTCTGACCTTTACTATATTAGAGTCACTAGTTTAGGGTGGATTGTTTGAGCTTCATCTTGGAAAGAGAAAACTAAACGGCATTCATCTATCAGTTCAGGAACTATAAAAGAGATTAGTTTATAGTTAGCGATACTTCGATATAAATTCAATTAAAAGGACAAGGAAATAGATATATTTAGATATAATAGATATAATAAAATAGATATAATAGATAAATTAAATAGATATAATAAATTCAAAGGACAAGGAAATAGATATATTTTTAGGATTGAAACGTCAAAATTATAATGTATTATTTCATTACCTTATAAAAATAATGTTTTCAGAGTTCAAAGCATCACTGCGTACAATATTGTACCCTACGAGTTAAAAGCTGTACATTAATTTAAGTTAATGTTAATAATTACTTCATTATCAGCCCCAATCGCGCCAAACCCTGTGAAGCGAGAGGTAAAGCCTCGGTTCACTTTTAACAAAAAAGCCTCGGTTCACTTTTAGAGGTCACGTTCCCAGCTAAATAGATATCGGTCTTATAATTTTAAAAGCAAAGACCATAGTTTTAGATGCAAAGTAAAATTGAAATTCTATATACTAGCAGACATAAAAAGCTGTTTTGTTACCGGTTGTTGGTGTAACTGATTATCGGTTACCGTTTCTTATGTTTTAAAATATGTTTTGTTTAGTGCGTTTGCTGTTAGGCTCCTTAAATTAGAAGTGACATTTGTTAACTTATTCCCTGACATCGTGTCAATTTATTCGTCATATTATGCTGCAGAAGTGTGGAAAATCAAAATGGAGCATATATCATATTATACGTTTTTCGAAATTTCCGTGGGAGTAAAATTAATAATTTGGTTCAAATTTAAAAATAATGATTCAATGATAGTTGCACGATTTTTTATACACGTAGAGAATATATGCAGAACAAGAATACAGAGGTTTTCGTAAAGTTTCAGCAGCTTGGACTCTTAAATTAGTACGTTGAAGATGGACGTTCATTGTAAAATCGATAAATGGAATATTTTGCAAAATTAAAGAAATGAAATAAGTATGCTGATTATTGCGCTTTAAAATGTAAGTTAGAAATCGACATTTTAACTCTAACTCTCCTCTACTGAGGTATAAATGACTATTGATGAGATCTTTTGGTAGTTCAGGGTTTACCTACTGCTAACAAGCCTGACTTTTCATTATCTGACCTGCCAGATTATATCTACCCTCTGAAATGATTATCAATAACAGACAAATTCGGTGTGATTCGGTATCGAATCATTTATTATCAATATTTTCTTGGAAGTCAATTCTAGTGAAGCTCATCCAGTTGCATTTTTCTTATTACTGTTATGCTATTATTATCTGATTGCCGAGTTTAATTCGATAAAATCCGGTTTGTAATCTAATTAGGGGTAATTTTTTAATTATTTGACTTTGAATTTCACCGACCTTGACCGCACCTTGGTTTTGGATCGCGGGAGTGAAAGCCTTCATATCCAGAATATTTACATGATAATTTTGAAAGATATTAGACGGCAGCGAAGAATGCGTGTAAAAAAATTAACGACTAACTACTCTGTACTTTAATTCATTTATAATTCATTATTCATTTATTTTATTCATAAAAATAATAAAATACTAAAATAAATAAATAATTCATTTATTTATTCATTTATTTAATTCAAAGACCTGAATAACCATCTGGTATCTTAAAGCAAACGCCGTGGAAAACCTTCTAAAAAGTAAAGAAATAAAAGGGCGTCCTACACATCTTCCTCTGAAAACGTTCAATTTCTCATCATTGAAGAAACGGCAAAACCGATAAACATTTCGATTTCATCACAAACATTTCCAAAGCAACTTTTGAATATTGGTTCTTCGTGAGAATCATAGATTAGGTTGAATGAATGAATTAAACTAAATTATATATAAAATAAAAAATTATAATAAATTATCAAATTAATTCAAAATAAATTCATTCAACATTGTTAAAATTATCTGAGCGCTTCAAAAATTGAAGTGAATATTAATTATTGCATTACCAGTATCAAATGAGAGGTCTTATTCCAATCAAGTTTCCAACAACTTACATTGTAGATTTGTAGGAAACGAAGGCAGGATATTTGTTTCTTGATTTTGTTCGTACACGTACTATATATACTCCTGTCATTTGTATTATTAGATTTCTGTCAAATATACATACATCTTTCGGTGTATAATAATATGGAGTTTTATTTTTTAATATTAAGCATCTGCTCGCGTTTTGGAAGGACGATTCCTGTTCAGATGAGAATTGTTGATTTCAAATATTCGTTAGTGATTATCTTAGTTATAATTTAATTCTCGGCGAAATTATTTTATGTCCAGTCATTAAGAGGTCAAAAAATATAACAAAGTTTTTATATTTTATTTTGAGACGGTTAGCACTCAAATAAATAGAAAATTACAATAACTTTTAGGGGTTTCTGTTGCCTTTTTTCTAAACTAAACTTTTGGTTGGAACACCTGCGCTAAGTTTGAATTGAAACTTGAACAAACGTATTTTTGAAGTTGGTTAAGTTCTTCCTTGTAGTTTTACGTGTTGAAGTTCTAGTTTACATTTGTAGAATTTTCAATTTCAAGTACAATTTCGAAACTTCCAAGTTTACAGAGATTCCAAACATGTTACAAAATTTGCATTCTAGATGATTTTACACTCAAATTATACTGTGCAATAGAAGCATTAATGAGAACATGGCAGTGGTAGACTAGTCTAAAACTTGGGAAGCAGGATGACTTGCTGACGCTCTTGAGCAATTTCGAACTTTGGTCTTTTTGATGAATTAAAAAGTATCTGTAATGGTCGTACAGAAGAAAAGGATGACAAACTATGACTAGAACTTTGTTATGATGATCTACCAGTCATGATGGCCATGGGAGTGGACGAAAACTGGCACCTTGACGGGAACGGGAACATGCTTGACAATGTGCACGGGCACGTGCTTCACAACGGGGACTGGTACGTGTACGTGGTTGATGACGGGCACGGGCACTGGGTGGGGAACGTGCACGGGCACACCTACGGGGTGTGGCACGGGGAATGGAGCGGGCACTGGGTGTGGGATGCCAACTGCAAAGCCGTGGCCAAAGCCACCACCGTAGCCGAAGCCACGACGGAAGCCTTTGCCACCGCCGGCACTTGCCATCGTAGCCACCACAGCCAAGATGAGGACCGCCAACTGAAATAATAAAGAATTTGTACGCTTATTTATTTATATTTTGTTATATTTTATTTATTTTGTTATATTTTGTTATATTTTGTTATTTATTTTGTTATATTTTGTTATTTATTTTGTTATATTTTATTTATATTTGTACGCTGTAAAAAATCATTTAAATTAAGGAAATTCTTAAAAATTAAGCAGCGCTAGCTGCTGAAATAAATCATTTTCTTTTCGATCCAATTATAATAGAGGCGCATATAATTATTTAAATTATTGAAATTCTCAAGCAATTATACCACTCTTACATGCAAGCATTTCTAACAAAATGACCTACCATCGAGTGCGCAATATACATGATGTAGGGATGTATTATTTTTTATCACATGCACGAGGCCTGTAATTAAAGTTACGCGATATTTATCACGCAAGATGCGTTAGGTAACCATGAAAGGCGAAGCGCGAGGCAAATATCAATTCATTGCACTACCATTTATTCATCGTATATTGTATTCAAATAACTATGACAACACTTTTTCTGCACTGCAATGTTTTTATATGACATTGAACTAAAAAAAATAATCTAATCTAAATTCATTCTTCACCTTGAGTGAACATGATGTTTTGTAACATCCGTTCTCGTTACGCTGAAACTGCACTTTAAGTTGGAATATATATTTCAGTCTATTCACCAATAGCTTGATCTTCTGACAAGTAGGTTGTCTAATTCGTGTCCATTTATGTTATGGAAGTCATAGCCGTATATAATCTTGAAGAATTTTTACAAGCAAAGTTCGAAAAATCACAAATGTCAAGAATTTTATGACAAAATCAAATTTACAACTATGCCCGTCAACTTGCATCGTATGCATCGTTAGTTCTTATAAGTTGTCACCGAAGATGCATGTTGTCCAATATTATGTAAAGTATTCCGAATGGTTACTCCGAGTTTCATCAAAAGCCCATGAACAAGATTTCGACCCAGATGCCACTTATACATTTTGAGAGTATACAGCTGCCAAAAACTGAGGGCTGGTCCGTTACAGCCCTTAATTATAATCCATAACTGTAAAAAGTTACAAAAGCAGTGGGCGAAACAATTTCACATATCGGTGCACATGTATAGCATTGGAGCCCCGTTGAATCCCACCAAGTGTGAATTGGATTGTGATATCTGTAAATTCATTGCTACAAGACCGGGAAAATATTTTCCATGTTACTTACAAGCTTCATTTTGAAGAGAAGAAGTGGGAGTTCGACCTGAAACTGTCGTCCAGAAAGCGTATGTTGAAGCTCTCCCTGATCGCGCCTTATATATGTAGAGAACACGGACCAATATCTGCAATACTTAGCGAGAAACCCGCTATGGGCCCGTGACCCGCAGTGGGCTCGCTGCCCCATGTTACCCTATATGTTGTCGAATATTATGTAAAGTATTCCGAGAGGTGATTCTGAGTTTGATCAAAAGGCCATGAACAAGAATTCGACCCAGAAATCACTTAGTATGTATTTGAGAGTATTTGACTGGTCCGTTACAGACCTAATATAATCCATAACTGTACAAAGTTACAAAAAAAACAAGTGGGCGAAACAATTTCACTTATCGGTGCGCATGAAGAGAATTGGAACCCCGTTAAAACCCACCAAGTGTGAATTGGATTGTGATGTCTGTGATGATTCCTACCCCAACAAGTGTGAATTGGATTGTGATGTTTGTGACGATTCCTACATGACCGGGAAAAATTTTCCTGTTACTCACAAGCTTCATTTTGAAGAGAAGAAGTGGGAGTTCGACCTGAAACTGTCGTCCAGAAAGCGTATGTTGAAGCTCTCCCTGATCTCGAAGCCACGACGGAAGCCTTTGCCACCGCCGGCACTTGCCATCGTAGCCACCACAGCCAAGATGAGGACCGCCAACTGAAATAATAAAGAATTTGTACGCTTATTTATTTATATTTTGTTATATTTTATTTATTTTGTTATATTTTGTTATATTTTGTTATTTATTTTGTTATATTTTGTTATTTATTTTGTTATATTTTATTTATATTTGTACGCTGTAAAAAATCATTTAAATTAAGGAAATTCTTAAAAATTAAGCAGCGCTAGCTGCTGAAATAAATCATTTTCTTTTCGATCCAATTATAATAGAGGCGCATATAATTATTTAAATTATTGAAATTCTCAAGCAATTATACCACTCTTACATGCAAGCATTTCTAACAAAATGACCTACCATCGAGTGCGCAATATACATGATGTAGGGATGTATTATTTTTTATCACATGCACGAGGCCTGTAATTAAAGTTACGCGATATTTATCACGCAAGATGCGTTAGGTAACCATGAAAGGCGAAGCGCGAGGCAAATATCAATTCATTGCACTACCATTTATTCATCGTATATTGTATTCAAATAACTATGACAACACTTTTTCTGCACTGCAATGTTTTTATATGACATTGAACTAAAAAAAATAATCTAATCTAAATTCATTCTTCACCTTGAGTGAACATGATGTTTTGTAACATCCGTTCTCGTTACGCTGAAACTGCACTTTAAGTTGGAATATATATTTCAGTCTATTCACCAATAGCTTGATCTTCTGACAAGTAGGTTGTCTAATTCGTGTCCATTTATGTTATGGAAGTCATAGCCGTATATAATCTTGAAGAATTTTTACAAGCAAAGTTCGAAAAATCACAAATGTCAAGAATTTTATGACAAAATCAAATTTACAACTATGCCCGTCAACTTGCATCGTATGCATCGTTAGTTCTTATAAGTTGTCACCGAAGATGCATGTTGTCCAATATTATGTAAAGTATTCCGAATGGTTACTCCGAGTTTCATCAAAAGCCCATGAACAAGATTTCGACCCAGATGCCACTTATACATTTTGAGAGTATACAGCTGCCAAAAACTGAGGGCTGGTCCGTTACAGCCCTTAATTATAATCCATAACTGTAAAAAGTTACAAAAGCAGTGGGCGAAACAATTTCACATATCGGTGCACATGTATAGCATTGGAGCCCCGTTGAATCCCACCAAGTGTGAATTGGATTGTGATATCTGTAAATTCATTGCTACAAGACCGGGAAAATATTTTCCATGTTACTTACAAGCTTCATTTTGAAGAGAAGAAGTGGGAGTTCGACCTGAAACTGTCGTCCAGAAAGCGTATGTTGAAGCTCTCCCTGATCTCGCCTTATATACCTCTTTGTTGAGACCTTGACTTGGCTTCTGTGAGTCAAAGGACGCCGGAGAGAAGCTTTACTCACCGGCAAAAAACATCCATTTAGATGCTGGTAAACTTATATTGGAGAACATCTAAAACTGTTCGTCATTGACAGCAAGTTGCTGCAGGCTTCTTAGAAATGTTAGGCTTTTTATACGAAACCAAGAAATAGGTTAAAATTTCTCTTAAAACTGAGGTCATTCACTCAATTACATTCATCAATAATACTTTGGAATCTATCACTCACAAGAACACAGTTAAATATAACTGTTTGTCGGTGGAGTGATTCGTGTTATGAATCTATTCTTTTAATTAATATTTTGTAAAAAAATACCGAAATGTTTTAAAGTTGATCATCATAACACTTTTCCTTAAGTCAGTTTGAATTTAACGATAAACTATGCGACGTACAGAATATTTTTGTGATTACGAAAATTTATCCAAAGCTGAATTGAAATCACGATCATGGCTGTCCATTGAAATTTTGTAAGATGAAAAGAAAAAATTCATGGAGTTGAGGGGGATGGAATTTACGAATCCTCAAATGAAGAAGATTTGGTTTCCTTAAAAGCGTTAAAAATGTGTTCAAATATTCCTAATGTTTATCAGCAATAAAAACTGGTTACTAGAGCTCCTACAGTTACGGTTCAAAACTGGTTCGGTATTTGGCACCGGCATGCAGTTTCGGCAGCTTCTTACTCACCCTCGGAAACGAGGTCGCACCAGCGTGTGAATGATTTAAAAATTAAATTAAATTTATTGTGTAAGCAAAATGATTAAATTGGTCTTTAACGATCGCACCAGCTGCTGCGGGGAGAATTTATTTTGTAAATAAAGTGATTAAATTGGTCAATACATTTCGCAAATCTCTCTGTAGATATTTTAGATGTTAAACTTGTTGCATGCGTACTAATTTCATTATCTGTGTTATTTGAATTACAAATTATTGTTTTTACAGCACATCCACCAAATTTGGAACATCGTTCCGACTTACTGCTAACTATTCTACATAACAATCAGCATGGTAATTGCAACTCACACGAAGCAATTATCAGAATATTTGCAACTAATCATTAGAAAATTACATATATTCCGAATAGCAGTCATTAAAATAATTATAACTAACACCGTACAATATCTAAAACAAAATAAATATTTAAAAAGGAAACAAATGTATTTTAGAGAAGATAGAGAAGTAATATTTATTCTAAAATTATACGTTGCTCCCAATAAAGTTTTTTCTAGCTTGTTTTTGAAACGAAGAACGGAGCATGTAACTTCAACGCATTTACTAACTTCTAAAGCCGCTTATAAATAACCCACGAAATGCCACTAATGAATCAGGAATATTGGACACATTTTTTTAAGTATTCAGTACAATAGCGGAAGGGTACACCTATCGAGATTACAATAGCAAAACGGGCTCATTAGTGCTCTGAATGATCGCGTTACTTCTTTGCCCAGTACAGTCTCTTGAGGAGATGACTTGGGAATGTTCTTCGTCCAGGTTGAACTTGACGGCCGAAACTAACAAAATTAATGTGCTTTGGCTAACACGCAGTAGTGCGTTACGGAGTGTTTGAAACCTTAATTTTTTTAGTTAAAATGTAACAGTTAAATAATTAGGTCCTTGACGAGAAATAGAGATCAATCAAAGAAATCATTAGGATTTTTTAATCGATGAAATTGGCAACAAGGAAGAAGTTTTTGTGCGTTTGATCGAATCTACACTCGAGGGAGAAAACCAAATGTTTTAAAGTTACAGTCCCTTTAATTTTGCACAAAATTGTAATGATGGTTTTATGAATCCTCATTACGTGAATTTTGGCCGTAACTGAACACATCTTCGAAAAGTGTAATTAAATCGACAGAAATAAAAAAATCTTTTTAAGGTAAACGCATGATTAAAATGAAAATTTGGAGTAAGAAGTCTGACTGTATTTTTGTATAATTCTGAGGAAGATCTATTGAATTCATTAATAATTATTTTCGATGTCGTTATATATTTATACTAAAGTCTCCATCATGTTAGGCACTATCATTTTATTGCGGAACGCAAATTGATGAGTGGAAATAACTGTCAGGCTATATAATTTTTTTTTATTTCAGGCATGCCATAAAATTTATAATATGCCCTTCTTTAGGAATAAGTGGAATTGAATGCGAGTTGAACGACTTTACACCAAAAAACAATGTTGCAATCATTTGCCCATCAAAGTTTCTTCAAGATCTAAATTGTTTGGAGATCTCGATGATAAACAACAATTGATGGAACATTAACAGGTATTTGAGAAATAAAATCACTTGGCACTGTAGTATTAATTTTTTTAAATAGTAAATGAATACGATGAACGAGGAAGAGGTGCTTTGCGGATTTTGAAAGGTTTTGTTCGTAACGTGTATCAATACAATTGAAATTAAATAAAAAAGTAAAATAAATATCAATCTACTCGGAAATATAGTTTCGGGCAATGACAGGTATATGTGACAGTTAGTAATGTCATATTATACAGAACGAATATTAAATGATTTTAATTGATAATTAAGAGTTTGAAAAAGAATTGATAGTGAAATGTCGATTTATATTTTATTGAATAACATTTTTTTCATTTATGCTTCAGTCCTCTTAAAGAAATAAATAATAATAATAATTCCCCTAACGTCAGACAAGAGCCTATGATATCGGAAATATGGAAAACACCAGACATTTCTTAACACATTGATAATGATTTTTTAGTAAGGAAAGGCACTCTATAATCGAACATTTTGTAGATTAACCACAACGGTTTCAGAGAAATTTTATTTCTGACTTTTCTGTGTCCGTTTGCAATTGGATAATAAATTTTCAGAATTAATTCCACCCTGGATTTGGGAATAAAGGTTGAAGAATAGAATAGAAGTGTCGGCGCTGAAGAAATAGGCCCATGGCCTGTTGAACACTAAATTCAGGCCACTCATGAACACTAAAAGTTTTTAATTCATTTATAATTTGTCTACAAAGTACATTGTGATTTTGATTGCGCATTTGGTATAAGCTGGAAAAATATCTAAAGTCGAAGTTCCCAATAATTCTTGAAGCTTGTCCGCTATAACTTGGTTATATTGCAAAATGTGTTAAATGTGTTTAAATTAAAAAAATGTGCTAAATTTGTTAATGTGTTTATTGCATAGCATTATGGGGTAAATAGTCATTCACGATGAAAACAAAATTCTATGGTCTCACCTTAACCGACATTGAATATTTAAAAATTGACATTTAAAGAAAGCCTAGAGTAGATTTGAATAAAGTGCCTGAGGTATAAACGCACTCTAACTTGTGATATTGACCCAGTGAGAGTTAGGTCAACTGTGTGAACGGTTGTGCATGTGCACCCCTGATTTAAAACGCAAATACAAAGTGTCAAGGACCTTGGGTTTTACCGTTCCTGCTGTAAGCTGTGCCCGACGAGCGACTCCCTATTGTACAAAAAGCAGATGAAACTTATTGACTAATCAATCCATTTATACGATTAATCATTCATGTCATGCGATATCAATTCAAATACATACACGAATACCGATTAAACAATTTA